CTCCCCATTAGCATAAACTCACTGCCCCGTAAGGTTCCTATCTAATCTTTCAAGTTACTATTGTCACTTTGATCCCATATAGCTAGTTCTTAAAAAAGCATAGTGCTTAAGGCAGGCCTTTTTTACTAGTTGAGCTAACCTATTGCTAGGCTTTAAGATGACTTCAGAGGGTATTTTTGGTTTAAGGTTTAAAGATTATCTAAGGGCAATAGTTTCAGGGGTTTATCCAGCCTCCATTGGCTCCAGAAAGTTTGGAGCCCATGAGAATTTGAAATTCTGTTCTACATTTCCCCCCTTTTGATCAGGATTCTTCTATAGAATCTTTGACCAAAATGTTCAGCAATGGTAGCTGGGCACCATCCGGTTCTTCTGGTCTCTTGGCCAAGGACACGGTTGTTCACGGAGGCAATTAACCACACATTCTATATCCTTCTCCTGCTTCTTTCTCTGTTGCTCCAGGTGAATGGAGACCAATTGTCATGTCTTGGATAGCTGCTTGCAAAAATTTAGGAAATGAATAGTGTTGATAGTTGCACAACATTGTGAATATAATTACTGCCAATGAATTGTACACTTAAAATGGTTAAAATAGCAAATTTTACTTGTACATATTTTACAGGGCTTTGAATTGGTTTGAAAAGGTTCATTCATGGCCATCATAAACAAGGGCAGTGCACACATCGCATAGCAACCAGATCTGTTGCCCGTCAGATTTTGACCCGAGTAGGAAACAAACAGCAGTGCCCTGCTCAAAGATGGCAGCCGACCACGCCATTTTGAATGCTTCAGAGCCTGATGCAGGGTTTTGGATTATTGGCAGGACTGTAGAGAGAGACACACATTCATAGTGGTATGGCTGCCATCTTTGAGGGGGGCACCACTGTTTATTTCCTACTTGGGTCAAAATCTGAGGGGCAACAGATTTGGTTGCTATGCAGTGCATACACTGCCCTTGTTTATGACAGCCATGACTGAACTGTTTCAAACCAGTTTGAAACTCTGATGTTTTACCACAGTAAAAAAGAGAAAAAAAAATGAAAATGCAAAAAACAAAACAAATAAATTTAGGAGATATGGACATGGTTGAAAAAAGAATCAGTAAACTAAAATATACTACTAAGGAATGACATACAGAATACACCATAGAGAGACAAAAAGAAAATAAATATGCAAGAGCAGTTAAAAAAATGGAGGATAGTTTGAGAGGCTCCAAAACACACTTTTATAAGTTCCAGAAGAAAAGAATGGAGGGAATGGCAGAGAAGCAGTATTTTCAGAGACTGATATCTGAGAATTTTTCAGAATTGAAGACATGATTTTACATATTAAAAGTACACTCTGGGTACCAAATAAGATAAAAAAAAAATGTAAATCCACATTATGATGAATTCTGGTAAAATTTGGAATACTATGAATAAAGAAGAAATATTAAAAAGAAGGACAGTATATTTTAAAAGAATAACAGTTAGACTGACAAAAGGCTTCTTAGTATGTGATATTGTTGTCTTCCTCCTCTCCATGGAGAGATCTGCTTACATTCCAGGGTAATAAAGATGTTTCTCTTCACAGGGGAGGATAGGCAAGTCTGCCAGTAACTCCTATCATTGGCCCAGATAAGAGTCTTCTAATCTTTGGGTTCATCTCCTGTAACACAAGCCTTTCCCTGGGGGCAATTGTTGAAAACATTTACAGGCAATTGTTTAATTTTGCACCTGCCTGAAGTAGTGGTTAACAGTTGGGGTAAACAACACACTCACCAAAAAGCTTAAAAGGAAAAGCTGTGGAATGAGATTTTCCTAGGGGCTTTGAAAAGCTCTGATATATTCTTGGGAATCTAGAAGACCACACACATGCAGAGGGCTATACACATGCCTAGGACTGTGTGCACAGTCAGGAGAGACCTAAGAAGGCCCTAACCTCTAGATGACCTTGAGATTTTCAGCAAGCAGGAAGTGAAAGGTGAGGAAGAATTGTCAACTGACTTGCTGTGTGTTGAAGGTGTGCTGCAACACACATATAAAGCCCATCTATAAAGACTGGGAGACTTATTGGTTTCAGGCATTCAAGTAGATCTCTGTCCTAACATTGGCTAACCACTAAGCTGACCCAGCAGAGACTTCAATGGCCACATACAACAAAGAATACAGACTTTACAGAATTAATTCAGAAAATTTATTAAACAGACAGCAACAACAACATACCTAGGGGAAGGAGAAGAATCTGATTTCCAAGTTGACATATTATATTATTTTAAATGTCCAGTTTTTTAAAAAATTATGAGACATGCAAATAAACAAGAAAGTATGGCCCATGTGCAGTAAAAAAAAAAAAAAAAAGTCACTAGAAACTGTCGCTGAGGAAGTCCAGATATTGAACTTACCAGACAAAGACTTTAAATCAGTTACTTTAAATATGTTCAACAACTAAAGGAACCATGTCTAAAGAACTAAAGGGAAGTATGAGGACAACATTTCAATAAATAGAGAATATCATTAAAAAAATAGGAACTATATATATAAAAAAGGAACCAAATAGAAATTCTGGAGTTAAAAAGTACAATAGCTGAAATGAAAAATTCATTATGGAAGCTCAACAGCGTATATGAGCAGGCAAAAGAAAGAATCAGTGAACTTGAAGATAAGTCAATTGAGATTA